ACTCCCAACAGCACCACCCTGGCCGGCCTGGAGACTTCTTTCATCCAAGGTCGGGAGCAAGTCTCACAATGACGAGCGAGACAACGCCACGACAATTGAAACCGGGTAAAATGTGGGCCCGGAAGCACGCTTCTCTCTCTCTCTCTCTCTCTCTCTCTCTCCCTCCTTTCTCTCTTTCAGCCTGCGTGACCCGTTTTTTGTCCAATGAAGCTCAAGTTTTCGTTTTGTTTGCACCACAGCTTCGTGCGATGGCGTGGTCGAAGCATAGTCCTAGCGCTACTCCCAGTTGCTTAAGTCGTTGCGTTGTGTTCGCGGCAGCGCCAGACATTCGGGGGAAGCATTGCTGCGGGGTCGTTGCGTTTCGGTGTGAACATGGGGGAAAGCCTTCCAAGATGATGGTTTGCGGTGGTTGTTTGCTGCAGGGTCCAGGCCCTAAGTCGTCCCAGGTGCAGTGTGCAGTTGGGGATTCTCCTAAACCGCGTCAATCGGGATCCTCGGACATGCTTGTAAACTAGATGCTTCAGCCAGTGTGCAGCTGCTGTTTGCGATGCCAATGGTAGTAGCACCAGGTTTAAGTTCTCCTTGCCGGGGCGAAGTCGTCCCTTGTTTCCCATCCAGTTTACTTTCTGCGCGATCCAGTACTGTGCGCGGTCTTTCCTTGAGCTTGGATATAAGTTGTAATGCCACTGGTGTCTGGAGTTGGTGCTTGCGAAGCCGAGCAGCTACAGGGGCAACAGTTGGTTTGGATTTGCTGTTTGTTGTGATACATGCATGCATCTCGGGGTCCGTTCTTCACCTCTCTCCGGAGGTGTGCAGTTGCAGAGGGCTGCACAAACGAACCGCAGCACGCAAGTATACATGCGTCTCAGGGTCGGTTCTTCACCTGTCGCCAGAGGTGTGCACTTGCAGAAAGATGCAAAAACGAACAGCAGCACGCAGCATGCATCTCAGGTTCCGTTCTTCACGTGTCCCCGGAGGTGTGCACTTGCGAAAGGCTGAAAAAAAAACGAACCGCAACGCGCAGGTATAAGTGCATGCATGTCGGGGTCCGTTCTTCACCTGTCCCCGGAGGTGTGCCAAAAAAGCGAACCGCAGCACGCGGGCTTTCGCCTGAGTTGTTAGGCTTGCTTTCCATGCTCAGCACAAACCAGCCGCAACGATGACCAGTCAATTCAGATTGAGTGCGATTGACCTGACAAGTATACCTCTGACTCTGCTATCGCGCACCATGCCACGGTGTGCGTGCCTTGTGCATAGCGTTGCTTACTCAATGTCAGGTCCTGCTTTCTTCTGGTTTTTTTCTCCAGGACAGCCGCGAATTCTGTTCTGTAGTCCATGCTCGGGCCTGGCCTCCCAACGATGCCACCTCGAACCGTGCCCTGCAAGCGTCGGCAAGTCGGGAGCCTAATTAGCCTCCTCTTCTGTGTTGTTGCTATTGCGTCAAGGGTCACGGTTGTAATGCTGGTCCGATGCTGAGGTTGAAGCAGCTGCCACAGATCCGTGGCGAGAAGCTCGGCAGGAGATTTCCCTGGCTGCGCCAGTAACTTCCTTGCCTGGCTCTGACAAAGAATGGGTTTGCCAGGGTGCAGTATGCCATGTCTGTGGACAGCCTGGACCGGCCTGGGTGTGTGGTGGTTCCAAGATGCACGTGACTTCTTGTGAAGAGGCTTGGCTGTGGCAGAAGCCCTCCTGCTGGTGCCGCGTAGCTGTGTCTGACCATGGCTGCCTCCAAACGGACCAAGAAGTCCAGTGTGTGCACTGGGACAAGAAGGGCAGTGGCATACCAGGGGAGGCCAAAAAGCGGATTCTGCGCCACCTCAGAGCGCACGGTCAGGCAGAGAAGGTGTACGCCGTGCCTCTGGCATCTATGCTGCGTCAGAGTCAAGTGCCGCGAAAGAATGCGCAGCCGGTTTTCAAGCATGACCTGCGACCAGTGGAAACTGATGTCCCCGTCTGCTTCAAGACACGTGTGGATGCCTTTGCTCGCACAGCTTCCAAAATCAGCTCTGGACTGCTGCTGCAGCAATTTGCTGCCGAGAGTACAGATTTTCGTCAAAGACTACCTTCTCTCTCAGATGCAGATCTTTGCCTCCGGCCAGGCTCCATCGTTTGCCCAACAGCTACAGGGGATGCTTACTGCATCCTCAGGGTCGACAGCCAAAATGGTCGCGTGTTGACAGGCTGGGTTCAGCGCGTCACCGACTGCGCCAGGCACCCCTCCTCCGTATGTTACCATGTTTATGACAACCAGACAGAGTGGCGCGCCATGTCCGCTGTCCGGGGTCTCGTGATTACCCTGACGCCTCGTTTTGGGTGGCGCTATGACTGGAAGCTGAAGCTTCCGCAGGTTTGCTGGCGCAGAGCAGACGTCTTGGGCAGTACGGACGACTTCTGGAAGGATCGTCGCGGCAATGGCGGTCATCCGGACTTTGTGAAGTCGTCAGCAGCTTCTGTGGATAAAGTTGTTAGTCGCTGTGCGCGACTTCTTTCAGACGCGAAGCAAGGTCTGGAGTTGACTCCTTCGGAGACCCGAGTTCTGCGGGGCTGGATACCAGTTCGCATCAGCTGGTTTGTCAAGGATGACGGCCATCTGGTACTCCCTTCCGAGGTGATCTGCTTGCGTTGTGGGAAGCATTGCCATCGACGTGGCCTCGAAAAGCTTGCGAAGCTTGGCTTGGGCAAGTCTCAAATCTATCACGTTGTGCGGCCCACCGTCACTTGTTCCAATGCCTCCTGCGTCAATGCGAAAAAAAGGTTCTACGGAGATGGCGGAGATGCTTTCAAGTTGCCCCCTGGCGCACAGAGGACATGGTGTCATGATATGCTGTGCAACAGGGTCTTCGATTGCGAGCTCACAGACTGGCTGTGTCGTTCATTTCGCAGAAACATGAATCAACAGGCTCTCCGGGCCAACTACTTGGATCTTCTGGGAACATCCCTGCCGTACGGCCGAGAGAGGCTGCTGCCGCAGGTACAGGAGGCCATGCTACTTTATGTGCGGTGGGGAGTTCCCGGGGCGAAGAGGCTCGCCGATGTAGTCTTGCTCATGTTTCAGGCTTCCGAGCTCCCGCGCTTGAAGCAGGAAGTGCGGTGGGTTTGCGCACGCTTTGGAGCCGTACTTGCAGTAGACGGCTCTGGTGCTCCACTTGCAGAAGCCAGGCTGTACCCTGAAAAAAAGGAGCACAGCCAGCCTCGACGTCAAGGAGCTGCGCTACGCATTCTAGGACTATTTGACGTGCCCCTTTGTCCATACATACTTGTGCCTTCTGAGAGTGGGGCAACCGTGGCGGAGCTGGTGGCTTTCGTGATCACGGAAGCCTGTGCCGTGGATGCCGGCGCTTTCCCATTGGGCTGGGTACAGGACAACACCGAGAAATACTTCGACCGGATGACGCACGTCATCGAAAAGCTCATGCACGTGAGGCACGTGCGCGATCTGCTTGCAGTCGACCACAAGACCAAAAGGGTTCGTGGCTTTCTGGTCGGCCTGGATGTAAAGCATGTGGAGTGGCGCCTGACGGATGCCTTGAATCACCAGTCCGCTGATTTCCTCCGGGCTGCATGGGCTTTGCGCATCCTTCACTCACGCCTCTTCAACCCGCACGCGACAGGGGGAGGCAGTGAAGATGAGGATGAGGCTACCTTGCCTGCGGCGGACGCAGGTGCGCTTCCGCAGGGCGCGGCCCCGTGTGTGAAGGACACTTGGGTCGACTTGTGGAAAGAGTGGCACACCAACAAGAAGGTCACGCCCAACCGCGCTGCTGCGCTGGACGCAAAGCAGGCTTACAATAAAGCTCTGAGGGCTTCTGATGCAGCGCAGACTGCTCTCTTCCGTGCAGACAAAGCCATTCCGCCTCGGTGCGTGTTCACATCTTTCCTGACATGCCTGAAAGGTCAGGATTTGGCGGCAGGTCTGTGGGAGAATGCTTCACCAGTGGAGACCTATCGTGAGGAGTTGGAGCTTTTTACGTGCTGGTTCTCGCAGGCAATGGTGCTTCGGCAGCAAAACCAGTGTTACATATTCCTCGCTCAGGTGGGATTCACGTGCGCAATAGTTATTTATGTATACACAAACATATATGTAAATATGTACCTGTGTCGAGCAAGAGACATTTGTACACATTGCTCTTTTGCTCTCTGTCTTGTAAGTTCTGGAGAGTCGCAACACTAAGGCATCAGGTAGCTCTGCAGACAGTGCGCGTCAGTATCGGCACTTTCACCGACGACGCCGTCTGGAGCGTGAGGATGCGACTCGCGTACAGGTGCACTGTACCAGTGCCTTGTCCTCCACGTGGCCCACGGTGGCAGCCAACCAAGCGAAAGACGTGGTGGTGCACGCGTTGGCAGCAACCAGAGAGTTGAAGCAGCTGGCCGTGCGTGTGTGGGGCAAAGGGGCCATGGGTTTAGGTACCGCACCGGTGGAGCGGACATGGTGGCAGGATCACCTGCGCAACACAAATAAGGCTTCCTCTTGGGCGACCACGGCCTGGCAGCAGTACAGATCTGTTGTAGGCTGGAAGCAGGATATGCTTTCGGTTCTGCGCAAAGCTCAGGTGCAGTTACACAGTGGACGCAGTGCTGGCAGGTCCACAGAAAGCATTGAGCGCACATTCCTCATGCTCGAGCACGGTCCTCGCGAGCCCATATGCTTAGGAAGGCTTGCAGGGAAACCCGTCGCGAGTGGAAAAATTCGCCGCCCCGAAGCGGGTGAGCTGTATGAGGGTATGGTTTTCAATTCGGAGTGAAGCCTCCAGCTCGCAGTCCATTGGACACAGTAGCCGCTCCAATCTGAGAGCTCTTCGTGCGCTTGCAGACTGAAAACAGGGCACGCCACGGAGCGGTCGTGCAGTTTCGGAGCACTGAACTGACATGGACTCTGCGCTCCTTGAGATGTCACCTTAACTCCTGCTTCTGCTCTGTGGCTCCTGATCTTAGATCATTCCTGGTGCACAGGCGTTCACAGCTGTGTTTCTTTGCGCGGACAAGCAACTATAGAAGCCATGTCAGCATTTGCAGGGCTTTGCGAGACTCCGACAAGGGCGGCTTCGCGGGACGAGGCGGCCGCTTCTGTCTCCCCGACATTGAAGGATCAGACGCCCGACAGTGACAAAGTTCGCAAGCTCTTTCGAGAAGACCGTGAAGACATCGCGCCCCGAGAGATTCTCGAGGACTTGGTCGTTCGCAGAGATCAGTGCGGGCCCCACACTGCGCTAACCCATGTTCTTCTTGCGCGGTAACTTGAAAGTTTCGCGTTCTGGTGGCATTCCATTCTCGCATCCCAGGTCTGTGATGGACGGGCTCGTGCCTCTGATTGACAAGTGCACGTCCCGCGGCCTCACGCTCGAGTCCCTCTTTGGCTTGGACGAAGAAGCCGTTGCTTGCTTGTACACCTCCGAGTTGTACAAGTCTGGGGCTGGCTATCGCAATCTAACCGGCCACCTGGAAGAGATTTTCGCGAAGATTCTGCAGAACGCGGGCAGTGATGACTTGGGGCTCGGAACTCAGTCAATAATTATTTCTGACATGTCACAACATGCTGCAAAGAAGAGCGCAGACGTGAAGTCTTGTTTTTGGCCTCGTTTTTTGACCGTGTGAGCATGCAGGCATCTCACAGAAACTGAGTGTCAACAAATCTGGGACTTCGGTGTCAGCGGCGCCCCGTATCTCAATGTTGTCTCCAACCAGCGCCTCACGCAGGTGGCCAGATCGTACGGGTGCACGCCGTTGGCTGCCTTTTTGCTGGACTCCGTGTTCACCGGAGGACTGCATCCTCCTGGTTTCAAGATCCTGCCCATGGCGCAGGCCTCCCGGGAGGACAAGCCACCAGAAGCGCTGCCGCCCTGGGTAGCGCAAGTAATCGACTCCTTGGGTGACGTCGATGACAAGGCCGAGCGTCAGGTGGACGTCATGGATGCAGTTTGCATCGTGTCCTTGGGCGGAGCCGCCAAGACCTACCTGCTAGACTTCTTCTACAAGCTTGCAGCAGGCTTGGAGGCTCCGCAAGGCCTTTACGTGGGCACGGAGTCACCTTTTCGGCGGGTCACGGGGAACTTTTCCGCTTTGGCTATCATGGCCAAGGAACACGACAAGATTGTGTACTGCCCCGACGAGTGGGGCTTGGCCGTGATGCCTACCCGCGGCGCAATGCCTCGCGGAACCTCGGCGGGACAGATGGTCACCATGCAGGCTCGACTTTTGCAAACTTGCCGGCTCCGACTTCAACTCTCAGCCTGCTGATCTTGTTGGCTGCGCAGGAGCTCATCAACTTCCTCACGCCAGCTGGCGGTGGCATGAAAGGTGTGGCCACGGATAGGACACTGCCACGTTCAATTTGCAGCATGGCTGAAGTTTAAACTGGGTTTTTGTTTGGGGCTGCAGGACGTTTGACTACCACAACGGGCTGGCCACGACGCTTCAACGGGACAGACTCCAGTGCTATTTCTTTGAGGATCATTCAGCGGCTACGTTCCGGGTGAAGAAGGCCTTGGTCCCCGAGACTTTGCTGTTCGCCAACACGCCAGATGTTGGTAAGGACCGAAGACAGAGAAACTTCCGTTTGCTCCTGTGTACAGGACCTTCGCGTAGATTGTGCCTTGGGCAATGCTGCAGGAATTTGCCGCCAAAATGCAGCAAAGGAAGTACGAGTTCCTCCTGGATGAGCTGTGGCAGCGTGACGAAGATTGCAATGAGGGAGAGCCACGGCTTCGGGCGGAATTGAGCGCGGGGGCATATGAGCTCGTGCCTAGGTCCGCATCCGCTTATACGTGCAAGCCAGTGTTTGCCTTAGATTTTGTGGTGACCTGCTCCTTCTTTCAGGTGCAGCTGGCCTGGCGCCAGGCGCCTTAATAGCATCAAGCGAGAGCTCCCTCCGTGATGTATAGGTATATAGTCTTGGCGTGTGCCGTCCTGGCCGCTGAGGTTAAGGAATCTCTGCGCCAGCACGCGCAGAGGGGCGACAAGCTGTTGCCTTTTCTGTTGAAGTTCCGCGATATCGTCGAGCGCCTGGCCTACCATCTCATGCTGGAGCGTCTACACGCATGCACAGAGGCTGTGGAGTCTGTGCTTCTTGTGTTTCTGAGACAGATGCAGGCTTGCACTTTCCTCATCAGTCTTCCCTGATGTTTATTTGGCACCAGGTCGTTCTCGGGATGGCAGCCAAGAGAGGAGAAGACTCGGACGTGCCAGAGTGGTCACTCGTGGTGGACAAAGTCGACGTCCGCGGTGCGATCAATGTTTACCTTTGCCTGCTCGTCAGCGAGCGCTTTGTCATCAACGTGGGCGAAGCGGATGTCAAAAAGGTCACGGTGTGTTCTAAGACGCTTGCCCAATGATTTGGATTGCTTGTTTACAAAAATATCTTGATGCCGCCCGACCCCGGCGTTCACTGTCTGAGGTGCAAGAAAGCCATGGGACAGGGCCAGGATGATGTGGACGGTGCTGGCTTACCCAAAAAGGATGTGCAAGGCATGGTGGCTTTAATGCAGGCGTCCTTTGGTTGCCCAGATGACGTCCTCGCCACCTGGTCCATGGTTTCCTCCAGAATGGGCCCGGCTCATACCAAGCAGACAATTCTCTCGCTACTGGACAAGTTCCGAGAGAACAATGTGCTGCTTCGAGTGGAGCGTATGCAAGCTCAACAGCCGTCGGAGTTGCCACCGACGCAGGACACGCAGGACACCGCTTCACCCCAAAGGTCCGTGGTGAAACGGCGTCGTCGCACCCACGAAAGCGTGGCGCCGCCGAAGGCCGCAAAGCTGGTCCTGCTCGAGTCCACGGATCTTACGACCCCTGTGTCGCTGGTTCGTCGCAGCGGGCAGGAGAGCTTCCCATCCTTCAAGCTCAAGCCTCTGACGCAATGGCCTTCCAGCGACTTGCTCGAGGCATTGAAGCAGGCGCATGCGCAAAAGGAGGCGCATCGCGCATTGTCCGCGAACCGGCGCTGACAGTCAGTGCATTCGGAGTGAAGCCTGCGTGAGCCCGCATGTCCATCGGACACAGTATAGCCGCTCCAATTTTGAGAGCTCTTCCTGCGCTTGCAGACTGAAAAAAGGGCACGTCAGAGCGATCGTGTGGTCTCCGAGCATTGAACTGACATGGACTCTGCGCTCCGTTTTGAGATGTCACCTAAACTCCTGCTTCTGCTCTGTGGCTCCTGATCTGAGAGCATTCCTGGCCTGGGCCAGGTGTTCACTGGTGTGTTTCTTTGCGTGGACAAGCGCGCCGTTTAGACAAGCCATGTCAACATTTGCAGGGCTTTGCGAGACTCTGACAAGGGCGGCTTCGCGGGACGAGGCGGCCGCTTTAACATGTCCCTGGACTTGCCTCTCCAGCGTGGAGACGCACATGCCCGCGGCCAGTTCCTGTGTCGCACGTGAAGCAAGTGCCATAAAATCCATGACCGCCGTAACCTTGAATACCATGAGGCCAACTGCCGCAATTGCCATTTTTCCTCTTGTCTTGGGCCGTGTCATAAACGGTTCGAATCCGCACTAGTGACGAATCTGCACTCGTGATGAGCGAAGCGACGCACGGCTACCGGTGCTTGAAGAGCTCAAAAATCCACGTGACCGAGTTCCGCTACGAATAGCTGCAAACTTGCGACCTACTCAGCAATCAATCAAGAGATTTGTGCAGTAATGCACATGTGCACTCCATTATGTGTGTGGGTGCAATCTGAAAAAGTAAAATGCGAGCTGATGGATAAAACATTGCATGGTTCGCGTAGCTATCGGGGGCCGCTTCAGCATGCTCTTGGACTTGCCTCTCCAGCAAAAAGACGCACATGCATGCGACATGCGGCCAGTTCAATTATGTTCAATTGATGCACGTGAAGCAAGTGGCATATATAATCCATGACCGCCGTAATTAACCTTGAATGCCGTGAAAAGCCAACTGCCGCAACTGCCATTTTCTCTTGCCTTGGGCCGTCTCATAAACGGTTCGAATCCGCACTGGTGACGAATCTGCAGTCGTGATGAGTGAAGCGACGTACGGCTACCGGTGCTTGAAGAGCACACAATAAATCCAAGTGGGCAAATTCCGCTACGAATAGCTGCAAACTTGCAACCTACGCAGCAGTCAATCAAGAGATTTGTGCAGTAATGCACATGTGCACTCCATTATGTGTGTGGGTGCAATCTGAAAAAGTAAAATGCGAGCTGATGGATAAAACATTGCATGGTTCGCGTAGCTATCGGGGGCCGCTTCAGCATGCTCTTGGACTTGCCTCTCCAGCAAAAAGACGCACATGCATGCGACATGCGGCCAGTTCAATTATGTTCAATTGATGCACGTGAAGCAAGTGGCATATATAATCCATGACCGCCGTAATTAACCTTGAATGCCGTGAAAAGCCAACTGCCGCAACTGCCATTTTCTCTTGCCTTGGGCCGTCTCATAAACGGTTCGAATCCGCACTAGTGACGAATCTGCAGTCGTGATGAGTGAAGCGACGTACGGCTACCGGTGCTTGAAGAGCACAAAATAAATCCAAGTGGGCAAATTCCGCTACGAATAGCTGCAAACTTGCAACCTACGCAGCAGTCAATCAAGAGATTTGTGCAGTAATGCACATGTGCACTCCATTATGTGTGTGGGTGCAATCTGAAAAAATAAAATGCGAGCTGATGGATAAAACATTGCATGGTTCGCATAGCTTTCCGCTGCCTACACCCATTGGTTCTCCCTCACTTTTCAAGGTTTGGACTTCTGCGAATGTACAAGTGGCCGAATAAGGCACATTTTGTCGCCAGTAATGGCACACTGTCATGCTGTCTTGGGTGCCATGAAGCTGCTAGTAAGACCTGTAGTTGCCTGAAAGTCTCGGCATCCTCTGGGTCCAGAGTTACTACTACTGCTACTACTACTACTACTACTACTGCTACTACTACTCCTCCTCCTACCTCTACTCCTACTACTACTACTACTACTACGACTGAGACTGGTAGTCATTGATAGCATTGTATTCCAGCGGCGCGTCCAGAGCGCAGAGAACGAAAGTGTCCTTGCAGCGAACGTGAAAGTTGAACAGCTATGCGCATACGTGTCAACTGCGGGAGGGGGGGGGGAGGGGGGAGGGGGGGGGGGGCTTTTAAAGAAGGGGGGGGGAGGATTCTTATTGTGGGGGGGGGAGGGAGGGGGAGGAATATATGGCAGTACGGTTGATACTCTTACAACAAGGACTCCCAAAAAGGGCATGCCCCATGGAGGACCCTGATGGCTCAGAGTGCATAGGAAGCATGTATACCCTATAAACCCGGCACTACCGCATGCACCCGATAATCCGAGGCCTGTCTTTTCTGGTGCGCTTGGCCGGTGTCCTTGCAGCGAACGTGAAAGTTGCGCTGCGAACAGCTTGAACAGCTCTGCGCATGCGTGCCAATTGCGGGGGGGGGGGGGGGGGGGGGGGGGCTTTTTTTAAGAAGGGGGGGGGGGGGGGGGGGGGGGGGGGGGGGGAGGGTCTTATGTGAGGGGGGGGGAGGGGGGGGGGGGGAGGGGGGAGGAATATTTTGTTTGCCTGTGGTGGGGGGGGGGGGGGAGGGGGGGGGGAGGCTTTTGTTGCCGTACGACCGTGAAACAATGACCTCTCCTTTTGAATGGTCTCGCCTGTTACTGTATGGTATGCTGTATGTTATTGCGTGTTGGTTTAGTTCTATGTTCCGAATGTCTGTCTGCATGCCTGCTGTTATTCGCGTTCAAGACTCTTTGTGTCTGTGTTTCTGCCTGTTTTTCTGCATGTCCTGCTTCACATTCAGGTATGTGGACATTCGGCTATGTATGTACGCATGCCTCTATGGATGCATGTGCGTTTGTGACTGCATGTGTGTGTTTGTTTGTGTGTGTGTGTGTCTGCACGAGTGGGCACGGGAATGATTGGCGTGTCTGCACACCGCCTGTTTGCATGACTATGCCAATGCATCAAGGCTTGCCTGCAAGCACTGGTGGATGCATGCATGGTGGATTTATGGACAGGCGGGAAAAAGTCGCATGTGCATGCATGCATGCAGCATTGTGTGTCTGTGTCCGTCTGTCCGTCGGTCGATCCGTCTGTCTGTCTGTCTCATCAATATGCTCGCAAGCATGGATGCAGAGATGCTCTTGGTTCCCTGGTCTGCCATCGGCCTCTGCGACAGCACAACTGAATCCTGGCCTCAGGACCAACCAATGGGAGATGCTGCCGTCCATGTGCATGCCTACTGCTCAGATTCGGAGATCCTGCCGAACGCCCGAAGACCTGACAGCCTGGACCCTGAAGCCGGAAGCACAAAGTCTGAGTGCTGGGCCCTTGGCCCTAAGGTTCACATCATCAACTCTCCTAACCATGCTACTCCTACTGGTCCGGGCCGCATATGCCCTCAAGCTACCGGCTGTTGGCTTTTAAGGCCGTCACCAACCCTGCAATTTTGGTATTTTCAAGTCGGCTTCCTACTGGGCACAACCCTAACAACAGCAAAAGCAAGAATATGAACTAAAACAACCCGGTAATGATGACAGCTGGATAACTCTGCAAATTTCAATGCATCTTGGAAGGCCGCGGCGTGCATGTGCCGCTGCGTCAGCGGGTGGAAAGTCGGTACCCGAGCTTTTCTGGAAGCCCGGAAGGGTGTCGGTCCCGAAGCCGTAAGCCTAGAGGGCCCGGAGGATGAACCAGAAACCGCAGCAAGCCCGATGACCCCGAATCTCGACATGGTTCCTTCTGTCATCAACCCCCTATGCTTCTGACTTTTCAGCAAGACGTCGGACCCGAAACATCCCGGAACTCTACCAGTGAGAAGCCTCAAGCCCTGAAGTCTTTGAACTGGCCAGATTCTACGTCCTCGGGGGCGTAGACGTGCCACGCTTTGGTGGCTTAGAAGAGCCAGGGGCCCAGTCCGGCGTTCGGGTTTGGGACACTTGGCCGTAGAGGGCTCTTGACTCTAGTACGAGTGCCGGCACTAGCAGACTAGCAGCAGTAGCTGCACGAAGTAGTTGTTGAGAGGTGCTCTAGCCTCCCGTTCTATCTGTTTAAGGCTCTGTTAAAGGTTGAAAGCATTGAGTTGTGGGCTGAGCCTGTTTCCGGTGGTCCCAGGCCATGTCCACCAGTCTTTCCAAGAAGGGCAGCCCTGTCGATGCATGGCATAGTCGGTTAGCGAAGAGCAGCATGCCCGTCCTCCCTGATCGCTGAGGACACAGCAGGAGTGGATGTTTCAGGACCATCGAAAGCCCGGTTGTTTGCGAGTGACGACACCAGCAGGGCAGCTTGATCGAGTTGTTCCGAGATGTTTGAAAGCCTGTTTATGTGGTCGCTGTCATGACTCCGTCCCAACCATCCCGTCAATGCCATGATATCATCGTTGCCCTCATCAGAATCACCTCAGTGACAGTTTGAAAAGCCACAGTGTCCCGGCCGTCCCTGCAGGATAAATATTGTCCGGAATGCTTCGATCCCGTCTTGAATCAGCCACTTGGCAGAGAAGAACGCTCGGAACGACATCGTAGGTGTGATGAATCAACAAAGTGCTAGCTGCTGTTTTTCAGATTTTTGCAGCGTGTAGAGTGTGTGCTGGCTCTGAACTCGTTAGTGGCAGGGTTGAATATCGAGAACGCAGGGATCCCCAGTCGGCATGGCCTGGATGATCGTTTGTACAAGAAGACTAGCAGGTGGGAGCTTCTGCCGCCGATGAACCGACCCTACACGCATGCTTCGGCCTCAGCTGTCGAGCGGCGTCTTGTGTGAGATCGGAGCCTCCACATTGAGGCGATCCTGCTTCTTGGTACTTCCCGAAGTTTTACAAGAAGTTGTTGCATGTCGATAGTAGCAATCGCCGTCGTCGTTGAAGTAGTAGTTGGAGTTGGAGTTGGAGTAGGAGTAGGAGTAGGAGGACGAGAAGTCGAAGTCGGAGTCGGGGTATGAGTAGGAGTAGGAGTAGTAGCAGTAGTAGCAGCAGCAGCAGGAGCAGCAGCA